ATGCAACCATATCTGACAAAATAATATTCTTTAATATTTAATTTCTCTCATTATGGAAAAATAAGATTTAATTTTTCTCCTTAGAAGTATGATTTAGGTTTTCATCTCCCTGCACAGTCTCTGTGTATTAGTCTGGGTTCTCTAGAGAAATAGAATGAACAGAGATTTACTGTAAGGAATTGGCTTATACAATTATGGAGGCTGAGAAATCCAAGATCTACAGTCGGCAAGCTGGAGACCCAGGAGAGCAGATGGTAGAGCTCCAGTCCGAGTCCGAAGGCCTGAGAAGCAGAAGAATCAATAGCGTAAGTTCCAGTCTGAGTGTGAGTCTGAAGACAGGAGAGGACCAGTGTCCCAGGTCAAAGACAGGCAGAGAGAAAGAGTTCTTTCTTACTCAGCCTGTTATTCTATCCAGGCCTTCAACAGATTGGATGAGGCCCACCTGCACTGGGGAGAGCAATCTGCCTTACTCAGGCTACTGAATCATGTGTGAGTCTCATCCAGAAACACCCTCACGGACACACCTGGAAATGTTGTTTAACCAGCTGTCTGAGTACTCTGAAGCCCCGTCAAGTTGACACATTAAATTAACCATCACAATCTGTTTCCTCTTTTTTTTTTTTTTCTTTCCTGTTTTGGTATCTACCTTTATTATTAGGGGCTTTTCTCTGATGTGTGGTGATCGTTGGTTTTCCATTTGTATTTTAAACTGGGGAACTAAAAATCTGCTTGGAAGCACTGAGCACAAGGGGGAGTTGTCAATGTGGGTCTCTCTGCATGGTTATCTGTTTGGGCTGTTACATTGTATAATCCACCTTTTGATGTTTTTAGATCACTCCAGAAAATAAGCTTCCAGTCCCTGCTTGGTGGACTCCATCCTAGCTACCTATGATCTGGGAGCCAAGTCAGTAAGGAGTGGGGAGATTCTCAGCATTTGGTATGTAAGCTTTCACTTAGCTTACTGTGGAAGTTTTGGGATAGCACCACTGTCAGTAGAGTATCCTCAATTTTGCCTAGAGACTTTTCATTTTTAGCTTCTAGTCTTATTCTGGGACAGGGGATATATAATTGGCTGTGTGGACATGGGGAGGGGATCTGGGGTACAACTGCTCCTTAGAGACTTTCAGCCAGTCCTCCTCTTTTCAGTTCCATCTACACCCACACTTCTAGAGACAGGTGGTGCTATCAAACCCTGAGCCACAAAACCTTGGGGAGTTCTCAGTGCAAACCGAATGGCTTCTTGTCTTTCATCACTATTGGCTGAAGAATCAGCTTCTCAAGTCTGCTAAGTCACTTGCTATTCATCCTTCTGCTTTCCAGCTCCCCACATTTTATCATCTAAGTTTTTGGGCTGTAAAAAAATCCTTTTGCTGTCGTTTTAGTGGAATTTCCAGAAGGAGTTGAAATAAGTGCGTGTGCTTAGCCTGCATCTTTAACCAGTTGGGTTGAGAAGGAAAAGGTAGCACACAGAGACTGATGGACAATTTGAGGAGGAAGTAGGTTGGCCTGATTGTCAAGTGTAAAGGGGTTGAAGGATCTGGAGGGATGGAGGTAATTTGGGGGTGGGGGGTGGGCCACTGAACTTGGTGGTGTGTGCTTAGGACTAAAGGAAGGTTAGTTCCAGGTATTCCCACGGACAGAGTCCGAGATGTTGCTGAATCAGGGTCAGGTAGCTATTTAGAGAGCTACTTCAACCCGTATCCCAGAGGATGTATCAAGGACCTTAGAAATAGTCATACTTTTTTCCCATTAACTTCATTTCTAGCATTCTTTCCTGAAAGAGAAGCTAACATATGTATATAAGGACTTCTTCACAGAGATGTTCATTAGCAGCATTGTTTATAATACCAAGTATTAGAAATAGTCTAAACAAGGGCTCAGCAAACAATGGCCCATGGATAAAATCTAGCCCTCCTCCTATTTTGGTAAATAAAGTTATATTGAAACACAGCCACACTCACGTCCATATTGTTTCTATCTTCTTTCATCCTGTAAACAGTAGGGACTATGACCAGCAAAGCCTAAAATATTTACTATCTGGTTCTTTAGAAAAAAGTTTGCTGACCCCTGGTCTAGATGGTCTGTAGGAGAATGGTTAAGCCAGCTAAGGTGCATCCGTACAACGGACTAGAATATAGTCAATGAGCATTATATTTAGGAGAAAGATTTGGGTTTTTTTAACTGGTAAAAAAACCACATATAACATAAAATTTACCATCTTAACCATTTTTAAGTGTACAGTTCAGTAGTGTTAGCTTTATTCACATTGTTGTGAAACAGAGCTCCAGAACATTTTCATCTTGCACATCTGAAACTATACCAATTAAACAGCACTTCCCTTTTTCTCCCCTCTCCCCAGCCTCTGGTAACCACCATTCTACTTTCTGTTCCTATGAATTTCACTGCTTTAAATACCTCATATAAGTGACAGGATTTCCTTCCTTATTAAGGCTGAATAAAATTTCATTTTATGTATAAACCGCTTTTTGTTTATCTGTTCATCCATTGATGGATATTTGGGTTGTTTCCACCCCTTGGCTGTTGTGAATGATGCTGCTGTGAACATGAGTGTACAGATATCTCTTTGAGACCCTGCTTTCAATTCTTTTGGCTGTATACCCAGAAGTAGGATTGCTGGATCATATGGTAGTCCTATTTTTAATTTTTTTGAGGAATTGCCATACTGTTTTTTATAGTAGTTGTACCATTTTACAATCCTATCAATTGGAATGAGGTTTCCAATTTTTCCACTTCCTCTCCAACATTTATTATTTTACATATTTTTGATAGTAGCCATTCTAATGGGTGTGAGGTGATCTCCCCTTGTGGTTTTGATTTTCATTTCTCTGATAATTAGTGATGTTGAGCATCTTTTCATATGCTTGTTGGCCATTGTATATCATCCTTGGGAAAAGTCTGTTTTAGTCCTTTGCCCATTTTTAATTGGGTTTTTTGATTTTTGTTGTTGTTGAGTTGTAGAAGTTCTTTACATATTCTAGTATGCCCCTTTTGTGCTGGAATCTCTTCTTGGTTTTACAATGGGTGTTGTAGCTTCTCAGCTGGTCTCTAGAGTTCTCACAGAGGTCTTTTAGTTTGTATATTGTGATAACTCGGTGTCTCTGTCAGGGAAGGAGGACCTGTAGCTTCCTAGTGTGCCAACTTGCTGATGTCACTCCCATAGAAAAATGTTTTTAGTTTTTTTTTTTTTTTTGAGGAAGATTAGCCCTGAGCTAACATCTTCTGCCAATCCTCCTCTTTTTGCTGAGGAAGACTGGCCCTGAGTTAACATCCGTGCCCATCTTCCTCTGCTTTATACGTGGGACGCCCACCACAGCATGGCTTGCCAAGAAGTGCCATGTCCACACCCAGGATCAGAACTGGCAAACCCCGGGCTGCCAAAGAGAAGGTGCAAACTTAACCGCTGTGCCACCGGGCTGGCCCCTGTTTGTAGTATTTTAATAGAATGTTCATGTCGTAATATTAAGTTAAAAAAATAAAATCCAAATACAAAATTATACGGTCTGTTCCAAACTATGTAAAAATGTTCATAGAAAAAATAGTGATGATAAATTCAATATCACAAAATGCTAATACTTTTCTATACTCTCTAAATATTTTACAACAAATATATATGCTTTTATAATCAGGAGGGGAGAAGACAATTAAATAAAACAATAAGAAGCTCAGAGGTAGAACTGGGGGTTCAGATTAGGAAAGGAAAGGAGTCCTTGGTCTTCAGGGATCCAAAGAACAGAGAAACAGTGCTCTGGGACCATGCAGGGAAGAGTTAGGAAAAAAAGGACAGAATGGTGCAGAGAGTAAGAGTAAATGAGTAGGAGTCAAGCCAGCACCTTCAGGAGGGTTCGGTGGGAATAAGAGAAGTGCCCCTCCAAGTCAGCCAAGATATGTGAGGGGTTGGCACTAGAACATCTCCATTAGATGCATACTTTGCTTTTTTTGTTTGTTTGTTTTGGGATTTTTTGCTGAGGAAGTATTGCCCTGAGCTAACATCCGCTGCCAATTTTCCTCTGTTTGTATGTGAGCCGCCACCACAGCATGGCCACCGACAGATGAGTGGTGTAGGTCCCCACCCAAGAACTGAACCCAGGCCACCAAAGCAGAGCACGCTGAACTTAACCTCTAGGCCACCGGGGCCGGCCCAGATGCATACTTTGTATGGGAAGACTTCCTCCCACTGTGACATGGTCCATGCCCTTTAAACAAAAGGGTGAATATAAGGCAAAGGAACCATAGGGGAAGAGAAAGAGGAAACACCAGGAATTCAGTCCTTCATATGTGACAGTCCAAAGTTGCCCAACTTGAGGGAATTCTCAAAAGTAGGATGACCAGCCATCCCAGTTTGCCAGGATCATCCTGGTTTTCGCACCGCAGTCCTACATCACAGGAAATCCCTCAGTGCCAGGTGAACTGGGGCAATCACTTACCCTGCAAGCCGTGCTCTACCACACACACACACACACACACACACACACAAACACTGTTACCTAGCTTTGGCTGGCCTTTACGAAGTAACTGAGGATGGGTTTGTCTTTTATTAGACACTTTTCCAGTAGACAGTTTGGTGGAACCCCATTAACGAATGAGTAATTTTGTGCAAAATAGGAAAAGGTCCTGCTCTGGGCAAATGCAGCCCGAGTGTAGCTTGGTGTAGCACCTTTGTGTGGAAGGCACACTCTGGCAGACATAGTCCCTAGCTAAGGTGCACAGCATGACAAGCAGAGCCATGGCTGGTTTTCAGCTCCTGTCCTGTTAGCAGGTACCTTTCTGCGGTACACAAACCACACAAACATTGGTGGCAGCGGCTCTGCCACTCAGACTCCAAAGGAATCAGTTTCTTGTCCCAGATGTCTCTAACATCAGCAGTGCCAGGAAACAAAACACTTTCTTATTCACTGAACTATATATTTTTACCTAGATATTGTGTCTGTCATATGTGTGATATCCAAAATAAACACTAGATTTTTCATTTTCACGCATAGAATAAGGACCTACTGGAAATAGATGAAAAAGAAATAAAAGACATCTGGAGGGGCAATATTAAAGCCAAGGATGAGACTGGAGATGAAACTCAGCCCTTTGAGTCTGCTTCTCTGATTCAAGGAGAAGGACCCACCAGTAGGCACGGCCTGAAGACTACTTGTTTCTTCACAGCAGGCCCATTGCTCATGGTCAGTGCTGTAAAGGCCACCTCTCCAGATCTTCACCACATCTGCAATATTGCCGCTGCCCCCTTCTCTCTCACACCTCCTTCCAGGTCTCTGATGAAATGTATGTTATACTTTGAAAATATATTTTCTATATTTATTATCTTCTGTATTTTCTATCTTTTTTGTCTCTTGGAATGACACTCTGGATAATTTTTTCAGACCTATCCTCCAGTTCTCTAATTCTTTCTTCACTTATATTTTTTTTTGCTCTTAAACTTATCCATTGAGGTTAGTATGTATGTATGTGTTGATGCAAATAATCCATAATCAATCTACAAATCAAAATTGGGGTGAGTTTATTATGAGCCAGGTGTACGACTATAGCCCAGGGCCTTCCTTCCCAAGGAGGGAAGCACACCAAAGAAGTGGGATGTACAGAGTGGTTATATACCATCTTGGGACAAAGAGCATACATCACATATGACAGGAATATCTCTTTTACTACTGTCACAAGATGCTTAGCTGACAGAGCAGGTTGGTGGTCAGGAGGTCAGTAGTCACAAGGTGAGCACAGCAGGTCAGAAATTAATCCTTAGTTTCCAGGAGGAGCTGCTTATCCCTAAAGAAATGCTGATATGGGGGAAGCTACATCCTTATCTTTAAGGGCATCATTCTTGTCTTCCGGACATTGTAAATGTTTAGAGCAGATGTACAATGCATGCTCAACAGGCCACGTCAGACCCTTTTGGAAAAACAAGGTCAGGCTGAATTAGTTTTACACCTAATGGCTTCCTCAAATACTGCAGTATATCCTATTGCTTATCATGTATTTATCGTATGTATTTTGGTTATTGCATTTTTTTCCCTGGAAGTCCTACTTAGTTCTGGGAAGACTACTTCACTTGTTATAGTTTCCTGTTCCCAAAGATAGCAACAAATCTGCCTTGTTGAATTATTTGAGCCCTATATTGAAGGTACCTTTCTTCAAGAAATATTTGTATTTGCTTCTATGACATGTGTAGGGGCACTAACAGACTCAAAACACCTTAAACCAAGTTCAAGGATTGACAGTCTCTGACCCAGATAGTTAGCAGTACTACCATATAAAGAAATAAACCTGAAAAATAAAAGAAACACATACACATTTAATACAGAAGATGGGAGCACAAGTGCAGCCTGAGGTTGTCACTGGGGTTCTGGCTCGAGGATGCACTATCTTCTAGATAGCAGCAACAATTCTGTCAACAAGAGCAGGGAGAAGAGTGAACTGCCAGGAAAATATAGATGTGGTGGGGGACTGTGTCAGAAAGCAATCAAAACCATCCCAAACAGGAGACAGAACAGGGTTTGGCTGAGATCTGTTCTAAATCCATGTGCCCAGTACTAGCACAGTGCCTAGTGCAGTTGGAACTCAATTAATATTTGTGGTATAAAAGCATAGGAGGACAAAATAAGTTTTAACTGGGGGGTGAAGAGATGGGGGGTGGCTCAGCATATTTCTGACCAGGGCTTAAAAGCCAGGGCTCTTTTTGTTCTCAGAGTGGCAAATATCCGCTTGACTCCTGTTCTGCACTGAATTGCGTCCCCCACCTCAGTTCATACCCTGAAGCCCTAACCCCCAGTGTGACTGTATTTGGAGAGAGGGCCTTTAAAGAGGTAATTAAGGTTAAATGAGGTCATAAGGGTGGGGCCCTAATCCAATAGTCCTTATGAGAAGAATAGACGCCAGGGGTGTGTGTGCAGAGAAAAGGCCATGTGACGACACAGCAAAATGGTGGCCGTCTGCAAGCCAGAGAGAGACCTCAGGAGAAACCGAACTGCCAGGACTTTGATCTTAGACGTCAAGCCTCCAGAAGTGTGAGAAAATAAACGTCTGTAATTTAAGCCACACGGTCTGTGGTGCTTTGTTATGGCAGCCCGAGCTGACTATACAGCTCCCAAACTGGGAATGGAATGGGAGCCTCTGGTTTCCAGCCTATTTCTGCTTTAACAGCCTTTAACAGAAGACTCAGCCCACAGAGATCTCCCTCAGGGGGTGCTCATCCCGAGGCCCTGAGAGCAGAATCTCCTCTGGGCTAAGTAGTTTTTATGGGAAGATGAGAAAAAGGGCCGTGCCAAATGGAATTTGTGGTACCTCAGGGCTGCTGACTGTTACTTGATGGAAGTGTTTGAATTCCAAGACTTGACGTTCAGGAGCCACGTTCTTGACTCACTGCTTCCTCTTGGCAGCTATCCCCGGATGTTGCCTGTGGCTCCTGGGCTCACTCCTGCCTTTCCACAGTCTCCTCTGTACTTCAGGGGCTGGCAGCCTGGAAACCGCATTTCCCAAACTTCCTTGCCAGCTGGGTTCCTCGCCAATTAAGTTCTGCTAGTGCAAGGCACTTGTGCGAGGTTGGTTGGAAGGCAGGAGGAAGGGAGAAGGCTTTTTTTTTTCCTGTTTGTGACATTAGCAGCAGCTGTGGTAGGTAGCCCTGCAGTGTGGGGTAGAGGAGTGGGGGCAGCAGTGGTGGCTGGGGGTAACTAAGGGCTCCAGCAGCTCTGATGGCAGTTTCAATATGTGAACAGGCGGGCGTCTGGCTTTCTGCGCAATGGGGAAGGCAGTGAATTTAAGCAGCAGCAACACTCCAGATGCATCAGTGGGCAATGAGCTCATGCTCATGGGCTCTGGGTAAAACTACCCTCCCCCTTTTGCCTCCATATTTTAGCTTATGTCAGAATTTCCTACCTTTTTAAGGCTGAATGACATTCCATTGTACATATATACCACATTTTGCTCATCCATTCATCTGTTGATGGACAGGGGTTGCTTCCACGTTTTTGCTATTGTGAATAATCCTGCTATGGACATGGGTGTGCAAATATCTCTTTCAATCCCTGCTTTCAATTCTTTTAGGTCTATACCCAGAAATGGAATTGCTGGATCACATGGTAATTCGATTTTCAATTTTTTGAGGAACCACCATACTGTTTTCCACAACAGCTGTCCCATTTTACGTTCATACCAACAGCACACAGGGGTTCCAATCATTGGTTTCTTAATAACATCATTTTTCCCTGGGGGTCATGGAAAAAAGCTATGAACACCACAAAAGTCGTCTGAATATAAAAGGCCTTGGGTACCAGATCAACACCATGCCTTATACATCACCCGCATTCCGTGACTGTTCTTGAATTGTTGAATTGTAGGAGCTATGCTAAGGATATAGAGGTAACATATCTTCTGTCCTTATTGGCTTCCTGGATGTCCCTGGTTCTAACCTTCTCACTTATCCTTTCTACTACTTGTGGATAAGTCATATGCCTCTCTGGACCTCAGTTTTCCCATCTGTAAAATAAAGTGGTTGAATTGCATAGTTGTTAGCATAACCTGTCTCTGAAACTGTTTCTGAGATTACCTCTTCAGTAATATACTGTAGCAGAATCTTCTAGAGTCAGTGACAGCCCCAAAGCTGGAAAAATGATTGGACTAATTGGGGATCTCTGGGAGGGTCACAAATTGGAAGCCCAAGGATCAGTCAGTCCACAGATATTTGGTTGATTGGCTTAATATTTTTTTAAACTTTGGAATTTGAATTGTTGTAATTACAGATACAAGAGAGTTTAAAATAATAATGAGACTATTAAATGTCACTCTATGGCAGTAAATTTGAAAACTTAAAAAAAATAGATGCTGGCAAAATTTGAAACACCAGAATTGACATAGGAAAAAGTGGGAGGGGCCGGCCTGGTGGTACAGTGGTTAAGAGCGCATGTTCCGCTTTGGCGGCCTGGGGTTCACCGGTTCGGATCCCGGGTGTGGACATGGCACCGCTTGGCAAGCCATGCTGTGGTAGGTGTCCCACATGTAAAGTAGAGGAAGATGGGCACAGATGTTAGCTCAGGGCCAGTCTTCCTCAGCAAAAAGAGGAGGATTGGCAGCAGTTAGCTCAGGGCTAATCTTCCTCAAAAAAAAAGGAAAGAAAGAAAGCTGACAAAGACTGTACCCTCCAAAAAAAAATCCACTGCAGAACAATCTCATTTATGATTAAAAATAAAATCCAGTAATGATAAAAAAATAATACAATAAGACCAAGCACAGTCTATTTCAGGAATACAAGCAGTAGTGTGCTAGGTTAGCAATCAGCTCTCTGGGAAAGAGGAAAAAAGGCCTGATTTGTAGCATTGGTCAATTCCTGTGGTGTAAATACTCCCACCATGACTAATTTTAAGCATAGTTAATTTTAAGCCAATTTTGCTTCTAGCAAAGAATGGTGCTAGTTTTAAGCTACCAACATGACCTCAACCAGCTTGAGAATTCCAATTAAAACAATTGGAAATGCACCAATGAATCCCTTCCATCAATCATTAAAGAAGAGAAACCATATTATCGTATCACAAATACATTTCGGATGAGATGCCTCAGGTGGGTCCATCTCCACTTTGGCACAGGCGTTGTCCTCCGCATTGTCCCTCACCCGGCTGGCTGCCCTGCCCTGCTGGTCCCTGAAGCCCTGTGTGTGCGACACTTGTTTTGCTGCAGGCCGGGCCTAGCCCAGACTTTCTGGGGCCACTTTGCCCCTCTGGTCCTGGCAAGGCCTAGGCCTGATCAGGTCCTCTGGAGGTGGGTGACGAAGCTGTTATCATCACCTCTTCGTTTTTCAGCAGGCAGAGCTGGCAGGGGAAAGTGTGCTGCTTCCTTAATCCGTGGATATCCTGCTTCAGACAAGTTTGCCCTTTCTCAACCCTGGGAGGAGCTGAAGAGAGAAGGCAGGGCCCACCTCCTGTGCCTGGGACATGGGACGGGTTTCCTGCCTCCGTGACGTCCTTGGCTTGCCTTCCTGTCCCCGTAGTTCACCTACTCTGCCCTGCATTTCCTTACTACCGTGGCTTAATCATGCCAGTCCCTCCTGGAACCATGAGCTCTGATATCTTTCCAGTGAATTCCCATTTTATTTAGATATCCAGAGTCCATTTTCATTGCTACTGAACTACTCCTGAACAATACCATTACTCTTGACCAAGAGAGCTAACTAGTACAGGAATCCAGATTGGTATTCATGTCGGCTACAAGGACGACAACCGAACAAATTCATTTTCTGGGCCCTCTGGAAAATGAAGAGGGGACAGTGACATTTTCTGGGGCAGTGGGGTCATCAGCATCTCTCAGGTTTGCCAGCTCTTCAGGGTTCCCAGGTGGTTTCAGGGTTTCTCAAAGAGCTTCAGGGAACAACTGTGTCCTGCATGGTCATCGCCTCTCAGAGGTTACGTTCCTAGGAGAACCGTGTGGCAGCCTGGG